CCGGCAATTGAACTTCATATCATACATGAACTGTCTTCTCTTCGCAATTCAAATATGCGTGTTTGTCGTTGTAGGCTTGTCGATGCTATATACCTTTAGTATATAGAATTAATGGATGCGAATGATGTGATGATGAGTTTCCGCCAGTTGTATCTCTATGTAGGGACTGATAGAAAGCTCTCCATCCCTTGTTGGGGTCGCCAATGCTGCTGATTTGATACAACGAAGACAGCGTTCTGAATTTCTATGTAAGTTTTGTTTAGTTTAGATGACATTTTCATGCGAGTCATGCCAAAGTCAATTGATCTCTATTATCTGCCGAGTTCTAACTTTTTATTATCACAGCTGATATCAAGGGAACACTTTATACGGTTATAAAGGTTTGTAATGCTGACCGGTTTTCCTCACGGTTAAAATGGCTTGTATACAAATTAGAGATCATATATCATAATCCTTATGTTTGTGGTTTTTCCACATGATTGAACTACAAATATATCTGAACTGATTTCAGGGAAATCCTTATATTATTCCATCCTTGCTAACATTGGCTTTGAATGATGCTATGACTTATGATAAGGTGAGAAGCGAGTGTGTGTGTGTGTATAGTCTCATCCATCTTTCAAAGCAAATACTGATTGGAAACTGATTAAGTCTGTAGGCAACAAAAACAGGTGGCCCAAACGGATCAATACGGTTCAGGTATTCCTTTTCCCTTGGGCAGTAACTTCAATGAGTATGGAACTAAAGCATAGGAATTTAAATCTTCGATGGATACAAGACATGAGCACTTCATATACTCTATATATTAATATGGTGGAGTTTAGAATTTTGGTGTATCCTGAAGGTTATTTTGCTGCATCAAAATTATCAGAATTTTAAAAGTAATTTATGGTTATGAGGATGAGAAAAACAACTTCTAAGTCATGGATGTTATGCTAACTTGTTTTTTTAATCTATCTTGAATTTCATGTTTTATAAGTAAGCTTTTGGTTGCACTGCAAAAGTTCTCCTTTTTCTTCGTGACATTTGGTTTTTACCTTTGCTCAGTGATAACCATACTATTTTCTTTTCTTTTTTTTGTTTTTTTTTTTTTTTTTTTTTTGCCCTGCCTGAAGCCCGGAAATAAGTAGACCTGAAAATAAAGGACTTTCTGCAGCCTTGAATTTGTTAGAGGAAGCAAAAAAGGAGATAGATTCATATTCCAAGGGTGGACCCATATCCTTTGCAGATCTGATCCAGTATGCAGGTTATATATTTTAATATCGTCAAGCTGAAACTCAAAAGTTATGAACGACACACAGTACACATGACAATGGGGTTTTATCTGTATTTTGACTCGTGATTTTGATTCTGTTGGATAAGGAAGGTTATATATATTGTGTTCGATGGTTAATGTTCTATTCCCTGAAAATATTGACTTAATCTTTTGTAGCGCAAAGTGCTGTCAAGGGTACATTTTTAGCATCTGCCATTCGCAAGTGTGGTGGAAATGAAGAGAAGGGAAACTTGTTGTACAATGCTTATGGATCAAACGGGCAGGTATATATCCTTTTGATCTACTCTGCTTTCAAACTTTTCAAGGTTTAGGGGGTCTTCCTCTTATTTTTTAAGATGGTGTGCAAGAACGCATCTCTTCTGAATTTTGGGGTAAAGATATCTTGGTTTATGACCAGTTTCACAAACTGAAGTTTTGGCAATAGACTACTGAAAGATCTGTTGTCAGAGCATGTGATGCGTGCAATTCTTATTGTTGAGCATGTAATATGTAGTCTCTCCTCAATAATCTTAAAGTTTACAACTCAAGCTTCCATCGAATTGCACATGTAATGCATGCAATTCTTAATGTTGAATCAGTGGGGCTTGTTCGATAAGCAGTTTGGTAGGGCGGATGCTCAAGATCCGGATCCAGAGGGTAGAGTTCCCCTGTGGGAGAAAGCTAGTGTCAAGGAAATGAAAGACAAGTTTTCTGCTGTAGGCTTTGGACCTCGTCAGGTACTTCATTTGACCACTATTTATATCGTGTGCTAACTCCCAAATGGAACATAGGAAGGCATTGACGGTCAACAATGTCATGCATGCCTTGAGAACAATGACTTCCAGGTTTTTTTTTTTGGGCCAATACCTTCACGGTTTTTATCATTATCATGCGAAGTACAGCTTAGCCTGCCATGTGGAATATTTTGTTCTGGCCTTGAAATGAGAGAAGTAAATCCTAACACGTTTTTTTCAAGGAAATTCTTCAATGAGAACCCCCAAGTTTTTTCAACCATAGAGATGCTAGTAAGGGTAAAATGTTACGAGATGAACATACCTTAAAAAGCAATATCATAATAGCCTTAAGTGTTTGAAATCAGTGACGTAAAAGTGAGGAAAAGAGTCCATTGATTTTCATCCTTCACTGGACATGCTAACGTTTACGCACTTAATTCACTACCCTCAGTTGCTTAACACATACAGTTTGCAATAGCCATCTTAATCTTTGGGATGAGGTATATGACAGAGTTTCTCTTTTCCTTTTGGCTGGCTTCTTAGATTGGCTACTTCATAGATCCATCGGCTTTTTTCCTCTCACAGCACCCTTTTATAGAAGTTTTTGACTTGACCAAAAAAAAAAAAGTTTTTGAAATGGCAAAAGTAGAGTCGAGAAAGAAAAGAATGACTATGAAAAACAATGAAAAGGAAGGCTTCATTCATTTATTCAACGCTACATGGACAGTGTATATAGTACTTACTGACTCCTTATTGCTGTGTGTTGACCAGCTTGCTGTTATGTCTGCTTTCTTGGGTCCTGATCAGATGGTAACAGAGACCTTACTGGCCACTGACCCGGATGTTGCTCCATGGGTCCAAAAATATCAACGGAGCCGAGAAACTGTGTCTCAGACAGACTATGAGGTAACTCTCTCTATCTATCTCTATATATACACATTTTTTTTTAAGGGAAGAAGAGGGGTTTATGGTAACGAGTTATTATCCCAACCCTCCTATTTGGTTGTCACAATCACTATTGGCACCGTTATTTATGAATGATCACCACTGGACGGCAGGGCAAAAAAAAGTAATTATCTGCGATATATTATGCTTACATGCATTAATGGTACCTATAGAATTCTTTATCGACGTCATTGTTTGGCTTGGGAATCGACTCTTGTTCCTTTCTATTTTTGCTTGTCAGGTTGATCTCATAACTACTCTCACAAAATTGAGCACCTTAGGCCAAAGTATTAATTATGAGGCATATACATATCCCGTCAAGAAGATCGATGTTACCAAACTCAAACTGTAGAAGGTGCGGATAGAAGCTGAAGCAGCAGTCGATTGGATCTTTCCTTCCTCCTTTACCCCCTCCCTGCAATTTCAAAGTTTTGAGACTTCTGCTTTTGGTCAAGTGACAGTTTCAGAATGTAATTGCTTGTCCAGATGTATCAAAGGAAAGCACTTTGATAATTGAACAGAGTTTCAATTATATGGTACACTGATTTGACGAACAGTTTGATAGGAATTGACTTACTCGGAGACATGTTTCATCATAGTAAGTAGCAAAGAATTGTGTACATGGATGGCATCTGACCCTGCGAAAGTGCTTCAAAAAGCAACGATGACATCTTACTGCCCACATCATCAAGTTGCAATCCTCAAATCCACTTTCCAAAAAATTTAGAAATATTTGGTTCTGGTTAATGCTTGGATATTTTTAGCAAGGGCCTTCTAATTCGCTTACTTAAAGTGCAAAAAGAAACATCAAGGTCTCATGTATTTCGCAGTACCACTTGTCCAATGTAATTGACCATTAGTATGTTGAGAATTAACCGACTCATTGAAATGTGCATTCTCTTGCCATCCTAACTTTTTTCAAGCCACACCTTCTGACAACCCCCATGCATTTCTCCTCCTCGGTCCAGCCATCACACCCATTTTAAGGGTTTCTCACGATTGAAAACCCACCATCCAACATAACGTATTCCAGGGTTTATTTTTCGGGTTACTTGGTACAGAAATCAAAAGGAGAAAATCTGCGAAGGCATTGGAATTTGGAGATTATTCAAAACAGGAAATCGATCCTTTATAAGCAATGAAAGCATCCGTATTCGAACTCAAGGTACTTCAAATATATAGTCAAAATTTCTTATTGATCGAGTGTATAACATTCAGCATGCCCCGTGGGGTCGAGAGTTTTTATATCTCAGCAGAATTTTTTATGTGGAGCCGAACAGCAATTTGAATGTGACAGTAGCACTAGCAGGTAACTTGTGTAGATAATTTCAGGGAAGAAACATCCTACAGAGGACCAGGGAATGTTCCGTTCTCCCTTTGCTCATTCCATCTGTCAATCTGATGAACAGATACACAAAGGCAAATATTAGCCAGCAGTTTCAATTTTAAATTAGTGGTAGCAAAGAAAACACATGAGATGAAGATATTCAAGCTTTTGCAGGATGGGCAAGATAAGTCAATGGTGAACAATTTATGTGTATAATCTAATAGCCCACTCTAGGGCAATGTTGTCAATATAGGCGACCAGAATGTAACCTTATATCCTAAGATTTCAGGGTTGAGCTGGGAAGTCGAGGGAAGAAAGGGAAAAAATGCAGACTGAGCTCCAAAGAGATGTAGGTTTTGCGTGAAGGAGCTCTGTCAATGGAGTTAACGGAGTCACTTATAGGAAGAAAAAACCGCCCTTTGTGTGTGTGTGTGTGTTTTTTTTTTTTTTTGGGGGGGGGGGGGGCGCTGCATAACATCGAAATTTCAGGAGGGTCCAAGTCACTTTTTGGAGTCTAGGGTGTTAGTTGCAGTCTTGCACATGTTATATGCACTTTAGCCAGAAAAAACTACAAACTAGTTACGACTATTTTAGTATTTTTGCTGAGCAACACTAAAATTACAAGCAAACATTTTTTTCAACTAAATCACGCTAACCTTCACAGAGGTAATACTAGATTACACTTGATACCCTCGTGTTTCAAAAATTACAGTAGGTTTCCTTAAGATTTGACGTATATTGCTAGGCTTTTGTGAAGCAACTCTGGATGAAGGATAGACACATATAATATATATATCAAGGAGAAGATCTTCATACAACTTGTCCAGTTAATCAAGTGAAGCTCCTGTACCTCACAAGGAACAGCCTAGTTTCCAGGTACAAGTCACAAACAAATCAGCGTAGTCAAAGGCACTCACTGAGGTGCTAAACAGGTCCAGCACCTCATTCATCAAGAGAGGGGCTGCCTTCACTGAGGAGCCAAAAGGAAAGTGCCTGTGGCATCTTTTCCCTGGTGAAAGGCTTGCACCTCAGGCAACTTACTCAGGTGAAGCAATCAGCCTACAAGTCAAATTCAAAAACCACAAAACAGAAGTCCATTCCAACCATTTATATATAAGGGAATAATAGGGTAAGATTGTACCTCTTACTGTCTCACATTCAAATATTATTTGGGCTATTAGTTTTAAGGGCTTTGTAGACATTCACAATACACACACACACACACAAAGCATCAGAAACCACCACACTGTCAACCAGCTTCCTTTTACAATATTAAATCCTACACAAGAACATTCATTTAGTGGAACAAGTAAACCACAGCTTGATATACAGAAACTACACGAGTTAGGGTTTGGGTTGAACTCTAATACTAATATTCATGATCACGCCCACAGCTACTATTAAAGCCTATAAACTCTAATGCATTCCGCCTTTTCAAGAATCCATTGTCAAATGTTATTTCAAATCACATTTGTCCCTTTTTCTTTATATGCATATTTTTTGTTATTTTAGCACCTTGACTTACTTCAGCGTGCACTTTCATAAGTCATTTTAAGGGCAATTTTTGCTTTTTGACTACCTTGACACAAATAATTTTGTCATAACAGCCAAAGGACAGGATGCTGGATAACATATTGAACATGATATAGAGCAGGGTTGACAAAGAGTCTAAGAATATGAGGATCCAGAGTATTGTGTAACTATCCTCAAGATCCCCCCTCCAATATTATAAAGATACCAGACATAGAATCATAAAACAAGATATGTATGTAGGCAAAGCACTGAAACAGATGAACAGATTCTAATGCTGCCTATTAGAAATAGTAGACAATTAACCATGTTGAATGCTGGTGGAACTACATACCCATTCCCCAGGGCAAAGAGACCGGTAATATTTTGCAAACTTGTCACATTCTGGGGCACCTTCCCCTTTTGCAGCTATGCATCTACAAAGGCATCACAACGTTGTAAAAAATGTGAGGAGTTATTCAGAAAGTGTAAAAAAGAAGCTTAATGAAAACAAAAGGCAACAGACTATAGCTCACCGGTGATACTCAACATATCGAGTAAAGCAATGCCTTGTTTGATTTGTAGTTGGGAAGCGGAAATCAGCTGGAGCAGTCTCAAGCTGTAATCAACAGCACAAATGTGAATAACCAAAACCAAAAGGAAATCAAGAGCATTCTCACTATGAAATTAGGTTGCTCTTCTTGAGAGGAATCGCATTAGGCTGAATAAAGCAACCTTAATTTCTGGGGTTTCTTCTGCTGCTTCTGGTTCATCTGTCTTTTCACTGCTTTGCTCTGTAGTTGCATTGATGCTTCCTTCAGAAGAATCAGAGTCCAGCTCAGCGCTTTCTTCAGCAGCTGGAGCAAGTTCAATGCTTTCCTCATTAACTAAAGAGGCAGCTGCAGTGGCTGCTTCCACAGTCTTCTCAGCAACAGCTTCTTGAGAAGCCATCTCCTTGGGGACTTCAACTTCTTTGACTTCCAAGGGTTTTGTGCTTGTCTCTGTTTTCTCCTCTTTTTCTTTCACAAAATATTGCTGCAAATCAAAGAGGGAAGAAGATGTTTAGTGTAAGCAAATGTGTCATGACAAGAGTAGACCAATCACCCAGTGTCAAAGAAAGAAACAAAACATTCAAAATGATTGACTTTCAGCTGATGATTGAGAGCATTCGATGTTTCCACCAGTTGCTACGATGTCGGAAAGATAGAAACAAGTTATGCATAAAATGTATATATATATATTCAACCAGAACTTACATTTCAATGTATTTAATATTTCCAGACCTATTGTTGGGTCAAAAATCCATGAGATGAGTCTCATGCAGCATATATGGTGCATTTAGGATATGACCAAGCAATCAATTATGAAGACAGAGTGAGCCATAAAGTCTACTACTAAGACACTAAGCATGAGAAAAAATTTCAAATCCCACATGCGAATTTATTTAAAGAAACGTATCATTTTGCCAATCTTATTAGTCAAAGAACAGGTATGCATAAGGCAGGTTAGAATACAATTAACAATTAAACCTGGCACACATCTCTGGGATAACATCGATAGGCCATTATAGAGGCTTGAATTTATGCACATGGTGCAGATCTCGCATATAATTCTGGAAGGCAGCCTGATTTTATTCTTAATTATTAAGCGACTACGCCCGATCAGCGAAAGACAAATGCGCCAAGTAAAAAAGGTCCTTGCTTTCATTTTGAGCATTATAAACATATATAATCGTGCTAATGAATATAAGATTCTCTAGGGGGATGTCGTTAGTTATTTCAAGAGACAACAGTACAAAGTAGAATAATTGACTTAAGTACAAAATAAACTAACCAACTCCAGACCAAGGACTCTGAATTGCTACGAGATTAAATCAAGGTTCGATTTTTTTCTTCAAATGAGTGAAACTTGGAAAGGGGATCGATGAAACAGCATCTATAGAAATCATTCCGCAGGAAACTCCCACACAAACCCTCGCTGATCCGCCAGAATCAAACTTCGTCAGATGAAAACGATCGCCAATATGACATTTGGAAGGTGCAATCAACATTAAACACATAATTGACAGCCAGAAATTCAATAAGAGTAAACTAAACAATACATATTGATGGTTGAATTAAGGAAATGGAAGAGTACCTCGGCAAGAGAAGAGGATTTTTCTGCCGTAGCTTCCGCCATTGATGAAGGAGGGACGACCCGCAGTAAAGAGGTAAGGGAGGAGGCGGCCAAAACAAAGAGGAGTGGAAGACGCGGGTAGATTAGAGAATCAATTTTCGGACCGGACTGGGGTTAGGGAGTTGAGGTCAAAGGTCAAAAATTTACCCAGCTACTGCCTCGGTCGAGAGCGGCGCGTATGGAGCCCGCGTTGCCATTGTAACACCCGAAACATCGAGACTACGCCAGACCGAGCTCCATGACCCGATCCCGAATCCGGATCCACCATCTTCCATCTCCCCACGCACAAAGGTTGAGGGCTGCCCTTTTTGTTTAAGGTCCAGTAAAAAAACCTCTGACCCAATTGCAGTCGAGCTTGGCGATCCTTGACCAGAAGTTTTCTAGATGACATGGACAAGGATCAGGTGCTGGGCTCATAGTGATAATTAAACATGGTATAACCAACAGGAGTTAGTTCGAGTGACAAGTGATTCCACTCCGTTAAGATAACGGATGGGTAACCTAAAAAACAAACATGGTATACTTGGCTCAGAACCCTTGAACACAAGCAATTGCTTACAAATTAAGAGTGCCCAATTAGCGCCACGCAAGGTGTAGATATAGTAATTGTTAACAGTAAGCTACAACATATGAAGCTTCAAAACTTGAAGCAGCAAATATCATTGCGATGGTATTTGGATCCTCGAATATAATTGAATAATCTAAATTTAAAGTATTTGATTTATGATTTTGAGTATGGTTAAAAACAAGTTATAATTTGCACTACTCCAATTTCCTATTATAAGGTACCTTCTCAAGGAACTTTTTTATCCTCAATATAAGAAAATACTTGATGGGATATTAATTATATTTTCTAATATTACCTCTAATTAAATTCATTAATTATAAGAAAGAATGTAACACAAATTTAATTTTTTTCATTTAAACATAGGTAAAATTTGAAGTTTATATTTGAGGGCAAAAAGGCAAACTCATGAAATCATTGTTTAGGAGCATTTAATACCCTAAAGTAAAAAAAAAATGATAGGAATACTTATAACATTACTTCATTAGTGAAACAATGACCAATCACTTAGACTCTGATTGTTTAGCTATCATCTAAGCAAAAATTAATCATTTTTTGCTAGTGTAGATTGAAAAGTATTAGACAAAAGGGCAAAAATACTTATGAAATTATCGACTAAGAGCATCTAGTAAGCCAAATTGAGAAAAAAAGCAAGAATATTTATAACATTACTTTAGTAGATATAACAATAACTAATCCGTCAGAAGTTTCTTTGAGGAGACTTTGCCAGAGAAATGTTTGAAATCTCTGTCAAGGGCATCATCAAATTGATCAAATGCCTTCTCTGCTTCTTGAATCAATTTCATCATTTTCAAGTTCAGAGTCTCAAATGGCGATATCGACACCATGATTGGAACATTGGTGGGTAGAGTTGTAGTGTTGAAAGTCAATTGAGGATTTTGAACCTCACCATGGATGAAATCGCTTAAGGCGGTGCTAATATTCTTAAGGTAGGTAGCAAATAAGGTATGTACAACCACAAGGGCATCATGAGTAGAGATGGCCTCCTTTATGAAGTGCTTGCATTCTTTGCAGCAAGCCATATCATCTTTGTTCTTAATCTTTGATTGTGTATAACTCGTTTCACTATGTTGAATATTAGGTTTTACAAACAAGAAAAATAAGAGAAGAGGTAGGGAGAGGGTAAGATATATGGCGATGGAAAGAAATTGTGTGGCATAAATTGCCCATTACTTTTCCAAGTAGAGAAGTAATAAGTGTCAGGTAATTTTAAAAAGTTGGTCACTGTTGTACCTACTAAAGTAACATTATGAGTGCTCATATACTTTTTCTCACTTTAAATTACTAGATGCTCTTGCTAGACAATTTCATGAGTATTTTTAAGCCTTTGCTTAAAACTCTTTTAGTCTACCTTAGTAAAAAAAAAAGGTCAATTTTTGCTTAGGTGTTAATTAAACCTCAATATTTAAGGGATTTAATAGATTGGTCATTGTTGCCCTTACTAAAGTAATGTTATGAATATTTTTGCCTTTTTTCTCACTTTAAGCTACAGGATCCTTTTGGTCGATGATTTTGTGGATATTTTTACCTCTTTGCCTTTCATTTTATTTTTATATAACGTTAATGGTTTAATCACCTCTACTTGATTTTAATGAGGTGGTTATAAGTACCTTGTAATAAGAACAGGATGAAGTAAATATTTAATTTATTTTTTTATAGGTTAAAAGCAAAATTTGCCTCATTACTTTTTTGTCGAGAGAACCTAGTATCCTTAACTTTTTGTTAGAGTAATGTAGCCCTCCTTATTTCAAAATCAGAGTAATGTCTCCTTACCATTAATCTTGAAGGGTGTTGATCGTTAAATAGCTATATATGAATGATGGAGAGTTTTTTTAAAATAGGATTCCATATGTATCGCCACATATCCTTAAAGGCACTGAGTTATGAGCCTGATATGAGTTCACGGCTCATATGATGACGACAAGGTGTATAGCCATAGAAAGATGCCATTAAGGTAACAACACACAATGTAATAGATGATAGAGGTTAGAGGTTTGGAGAACAAGCTTGAGGAACATGATGAAATAGAGAGTGGATTAAAGAGATAAAGAAAGATTGAGAATTACAAGACTAAAGTAAAAGTAGAGTGAAAGAAAAAGCTATGCAAACAATTAAAGAGAGGAGATGTGGAGTCTAGACCCACTATTCATTCAAGCTATGCAAATAATTAAAAACCATAAGTAAAAGTAAAGCGAAAGAAAAAGCTATGAGTTTTAAAGGCAGCAGACAAATTTGAGAAAGCTTACCATAAATAGGATTTCAACTATGTTAGCGATAGTATTTCCAAGTTTGGTGTCAGCAAGGTTCAATTCGATCCCTCCTTTAAGTAAGTTTTAAATCAAGTTGGGCAAGAATCATTTGCCCACAGATTGTCAAATCAAACGCCATCAAAATCCCATTTAGCTCTAATATGATTGCTCAAACATGAGTTTTGATTCTGCTTGCTCTTTTTATAGATTATGTGAGTGTTTATATATTCCTATTTGGCTCAAATCTAAAAGTTGAAGTATCTATAGTTTGGTCATATCTTTGAGAATCAATTAATAACTTTATAACTTTACCTACTTCAAACAACCTTGCCTAAAACTCTAGCATTTGATGTCACACCCTTACTAGTGTGGATGTTAGCTTTATCCTAAAATGTAGTATCGTGTAATTCTTCTAAGAAACAATCTCTTTGTCTTGATACACCACCTCTTCCTTAAGGAGATTTGGTGAGAAGAGTGGCAATGATAGTGTTTGAGGGGAAGAAGAGAATAAGATCAAGAAATGAAGGAATATAGGCCAACCTGGACCATATAGGTTGGTTTATAATATCATAAGTTTCTAATCCATAACTTAATTACTAATGAATGAAAATTAGTAGATTAATTAAATTAACCATGCTTTAAGATTGTTAATTAATATTTTGAATCAATAGACAACTCTAAGAATGAGCTAGGGTGGAGATTGCATTAGATCAAGATCGGATGGCATGAGGCAAGTGAGAGAGTTCTCATTGTGCCACTGATGTACACTAGTTGCTTAAACACCCAAATTAAACTAAGAAACACCTTAATGAGTATAGCATACAACCTAGGTCGAATCTCTCATGAAGTTAATTAAAATTAAAACCTTAGTTATTTAAATTAACCAAGAACAATAACAACTTGATTGAGTTTAATTGATTAAGAAATAGAAATTAAACAAGAAAAGATTAAATGAAAACTAATTTCTTTGCTATTTTTTTCAAAGATTGGATAGATCTAGAAAATTGATTGGTTCATGATTAAAATGCAATGTTATAGTCTTCGTAGGCACATAATCTCTTATCCTTGCTCAATCTAATTAATTTTCTCTTTATCCCAATTGCTTTTAAAGTTATCCTAGTAACAATTAGGAATTAGCATTCTTAAGTTTTTTTTTAGACTAACAAGGATCCTTAATTAACCCGTAGAACAAATTATACTTAAAAATGACCAATTGATTGTAAAGTTAATTGCCAATTCCAGCCATTTTCTTAACTAAATGATATTACAAGTGTATATAGAGATGAATATATGTGATATGTGGTGATAATTATGCAAATACATTACGATTGGTCATATTTTGTGTGAAATAGGGATCTTAGGTGGTTAAATCTTATGTTTAATGTGATATTATGTGATTACTTATTGAATCACATGTATATTAGTCCATTAAACTTAGTTTAAGTTCCAAATTAAGTCAATGTATGAGTTTTGATATTTGAACACTCGGATGCCTTAAATTGGTTATAAAATTTAACTCTTTGCATCTAATGTCCTAATTTCACAATGATGTCAAATTGTGAAGAAAATTTTTTATTAACTAGATTATCAACTAAGCTTTACGTGAATACTTGAATCACTTTGATCAGACATTAAATGTAAAAATGACACATATCTGAAGTTTACCTTATAAGGCTATCATGACAGGGGCATATGCACCATGACATGTTGTGCACAAGCCACGATGCATGGCATGAAGGTTGAATTGCCTTCTCGATATCACATATCATGGCGCGTGGACCACACGCCCTAGCGTCTCTATTAGAATGTACTAAAATGATATTTTTTTTACTGTTTTGCTTTCCTTTGTTTTCCATACTCCATTTGCTTTTGAATATAAACAAATTTGAGCCCAAACTACATATTTAAAAGTTTTTTATAATTCCAAAAGTTTTTAATTATATTTCAAGTATTTAAGTGATCTAAGCCTTCCATGATTGTGGTATACTTAAGAGGATTTAATGATTTTAATTACCATTATGTGGAGTGATTGGTTGTGCTAATTTTGATGATATTAAGATAGACATTACATGGCCTATATGGTTTAGAAAAGATACAAGTTAGGTTAGGTTAGACCCATTTTCATATAGGTTAAAAAAATTTTAACCCATCCCTTAAGAACTGGTGGGTTAAATGGGCTAACCCACTAATCATTTTATTTTACTTTCCAATTTATTTTTAATAAATTTTAAAAAAATTATACCCAAATGAAGATGGTGATAAGTTCCAATATGATATTATTTCATTGTTATTTCAATTTGTATAAAATATATGAATTGAACTAGTCATTCATTTTATGATCATTAAGATTCAGCAGTAAAACATGCATGTACAGTACAACATTTTCCTATCATTGTTGTAACATCCCAATTTA